GACCGAACAATCTTCTGTCGCCCACTTCCTCCCAACAAATCGGTGATCTGCATGGGCGACCATATAACACCTCATACGGAGCCATGCCAATGCTCGCTTGATACTGTTGTTGTAGGCAAACTCTATCAGGGGTAAATGGTTGTCCCAATGGCCCCCAGAGTCAAGGGCATAAGCTCGGAGCATATCTTCCAGTGTACCAATTGTTCTTTCTGATTGTCCATCGGTCTGAGGTTGGAAAGCAGTGCTGAGGGACAGCTTTGTTCCCATGGCTTGCTGGAAGCTATTCCAAAACCAAGAAGTGAATCTGGGGTCCCTGTCGGATACCACTGCCACTGGGACTCCATGCAATCTGACTATCTCCCGGATATACATTCTTGCCAACTTGTCCAAAGAATCAGTCATTCTGATGGCCAGAAAGTGAGAAGACTTAGTGAGTCGGTCAACAATTACCCATATAACATCATGTCCTGATCGTGCCTTAGGTAGTACCGATACGAAGTCCATGGTGATATGTTCCCACTTCCACTCTGGAATCGGTAAAGGCTTAAGTAACCCACCTGGGCGTTGATGTTCTGCTTTGACCTGCTGACATACCAAGCACTTAGATACAAAGTCAGCTATATCTCTCTTCATCCCATTTCACCAGAACCGAGGTCGCATAGTTTGGCACATTTGGGTACTTCTTGGATCCATGGCAAACTTTGAACTATGGGACTCTGTCATGATGTCTCTTTTTAACTCACTGTCGTCTGGGATACACACTCTGTCCTTGAAACTAATCAATCCGTCGGCAGAGATCTGGAATTCTGAACTCACTTCCTGTTCTGCATCCTTCTTGCGGGTTACTAGGGCGGGGTCGACTGACTGGGCTTCTTTTATTCTTTGGATTAACTCGGGTTGGACTGCTAGGTGGCCCAAACATGTGGCCCTCTTCAGATCTCGCAGTCGAACCTGTTGCTTGGCCCCAATTGACCTGTATTCTGAAACCATCAAATGGGCTAGGGTGCTTGCACTTTTCCTGCTGAGGGCATCGGCTACCACGTTGCCCTTACCTGGATGGTATAAGATATCACAATCATAGTCCTTGAGGAGTTCCATCCACCTTCTCTGACGCATGTTGAGATCCTTCTGAGTGAAGATGTACTTCAAACTCTTATGATCGGTATA